GGAGGATGTGGTGCTGCAGCATCAGCTGTGGGGCTGGAGGCTGCGACATGTTGGTGTTGGGGGTGTTCTGGTCCTGACAGCATTGGGGCTGCAGAGAGGAGCTTCCTGCAGGTGCTGCAGCTGCTCCCAGCGCTCCGGCTGTCCCTGCTGCGGCTGTGAGCTGTGCCCTGGCCCCCAGGCTCATGCATGAACCACAGTCCCTGCCCCTCTGCCTGAGCTGTGCCTGGCTCCATGGTTCCCCTCTGCTGCCTGGGGCTGGAGGGGCGAGCAGGGTTATTTGAGGGTGAAGGAACTTGTGTCTTTTTGCTTGGTCTTGCAGCAGAGCTCAGTCTCACCCCTGTGTGGAGGTGAAAGCCGCCTGCTCAGCAGAGCAGCTGCAGGGAGCAGAATCGATTGCTGTAACCCGAGGCAGTGACCTTGGGATGGGCTGTGCCCGAGGCAGATCCCACCCCAGCGGCTCCCGCGGCCCTGAGAGCTGTGCCAGGGCAGGGAGAGCTCCCATGTCCCACAGGACGGCGGGAGTGACACTGCAAAGGTGCAGCACAGCATTCTGCTGGGCCTGCCTGCCTGCAGTTGTGCTCTTGGTGGACTGAGGCATCTGCCTCCTGCAGTGGCCCTGGCATGAAGGGTGGCACAGAGGAAAGCTGCTGGGAGCCACCAGCGTGGCTGTTGGCACCCCTGTGATGGCCTGGAGCCATGCATCAGTCTCCTGCCCTGTGCTCAGAGCTGGTTCTTGGTTGGTCCCAGCCTCCAGGCCCTGCTTTAGGAGAGAGTTTTGCTTTGGTGGCTGCCAGGGCTTTGTGAGGGGTGGCTCATCCTGTGGCGTCTCAGGGAGTCCGGGTGTTGCTGCTCAGGGCACAAGTAAGGAAGGAAGAGCCTCGTACAGCCAAGGCTCCCAGATCCTCAGAAGGGGTCACCCCCATCTGTCTCCTTTATGCTTAGTCTTCTGTTTAGAAACTTTGTTCCCTGCCTTGTTACACGCTGATTTCTGTCCAACACGCACAGTCCTCTGTGAAAGATTAATCCTGTCTTACCTGCCCCATCTCAGATGTTTACAGCAGCTGGAGAGCAACGGGTTCCATGTGGATGAGCTCTTCCAGAAGTGCTTGTTTGAGGAGGATGAGAAGGAGATGATGCTGAAGGCTATCAGGACTGTGCAGCCCGACTACCAGCTGCCTCCTCCGCCCAGCCCCCAGACCTGCAAATCTTCTCTGCTGCAGGACTTCTACTCTAAGGTAAGTTGCAGAGCTCGGGGACATCTCTGCAGCTCAGAGAGCTGTTGGAGCTTCTGTTCCTCTGGCTCTTGGCACTTATTGCCTCGTACTTGTTGCAGGAGAAGACGGTGTCGTACCCCAAGCTGGATTTCACTGTGCAGGAGTTGCAGGAGCGCTTTCAGCAGCAGCTGAAGATGGAACTGGACATCACCATAACCATCGAGTCAGTGGAGGCAACCAAACCTCTGACCCCACAAGCCATTAAAGCGGTAAAGCTCGGGGAGGCGGAGGCTGCACGTCTGGAGGGGAGGGAGGTGGTTTGGCCCTCGGGACCTGCCAGAGAGACACAGGGTTTGGTGGCCGAAAGAGGGGGCTGCTCCCTCGTGATGCGCTCTCACCACAGCATTTCTGTCCTGTTTCCATTTGTGTAGCGCAAGCTGCTGGCCACCCTTCGTGCCCAGTGGCATGACTCCATCCTCCAGGCCCTGCAGAAGTCAAAGCACAACATGTCCAAGCTCAAGACGGCTTACAACAAGCCGAGTTACAGCATCCTCTACCCCTACCTGTGTCTGCTGCCTGATGAGGAGTACGTGGGCATCATGCTGCAGGTAGGACCCTCCCTGCCCTCGCAGAGCCACAGGGGTGGCCGCAGGGCTACCACAGAGCACTCATGGCCTGCTCAGGCCAGGGAATCAGAACATGAGTCTCAAAGTTTGCCCAGGTTGTTAGGCACAGGATCTGTCTGCTCCCTGTGCTGAACAGCCAGAGAAACCCCTGTTCTGTCCTGGCCATGTTTCCTTCCTCATCATGGGATCAGCATCTTTCTATGCTCCCCACACAGGGGTTTAACTCCCACTTTGTGTCTCTGCTCCATCTTTCTGTTCCTCCCTCCTTAAGACCCTCTTTGCATTCTACTTTCTCAGATCCTCAACACCTTCTCTCCGCAAGGGGAATCCCTGGCTGTCTTGGCCAGGGAGCTGGGCTCCAAAGTCTACGACAGATACATCACGCAGCGGAAGCTGCGCAGCCGCCAGCTGGAGAAGGTGCAGGAGGTCTACAAGGACTACATCCACCTGCTGGCGAAGGACAGCCAGGTAGGGACGCCTGGGGAGGGCAGTCCTGGGGCCTGCAGGTTACGGAGTGGAGGCGGGGTGAGGCAGTTTGTCTGTCCACCTCCTCACAAGAGCAAGGTCCAGGTTCTGGGAATCTGCTGCTACAGAGGCCACCAGAACCAGTAAGGCCCCCTACCTCGAGGCAACAGGCAGGGCTGGGATAGCAGTGGGTATTTCTGGATCAGGTTTTAAATCAGCAGAGTTGATCCCATGGAGCCAGGCATCCTGTGCAGGAGGGCTCTGGGGCTTGAGAAGGATGCGCTTCGCAGGGCAGGACAGGAGGGGAGAAAGGGGCCAAGGTCACCAATCTGGGCAGCTCAAGGACGGATGAGGAGGTTGTTCCCTGAGCTCTGTGTGTGCATTGTGGTGGGGCAGGCAGATCAGCAGCCTTGGGAGGGAGGGTCAGGATGGTGTGGGGACACGGTGTCAACACAGGGATGTGGCCAGAGGAAGGACTTTGCAGTGCCACGGTTCTGGCCTGCAGCAGAAGCAGATTCTCGCTGTTTGGCTTGCCCCAGCCACGTTGGCAGTCCTTTCCAAATACCCCTCTCAGAGGGACCTGACCAGGACACAGACAGAAAGGTCCTTCTCAGAGCCACATTCCAGGTACATGGCTCCCATCCAGCATACTCCAGGAGCAGAGTGGCTGCCCCCTTCAGCTGACCTCATTTTCTTCCACCTCCCAGCCTGATCAGTACCTGCCACGGGAATACTGGGAGAAGCTGGTGACAGAAGCGGGCTTTGGGCCTTCGCTGAACTTGAAGGACTGCAGCTGGTCTTACATGATCGTGATGCGCCTGGGCATGTACATGCTGGAACTGCTGGTGCAGGCTGTCAAGGTGCCCAGGAACATCCTCAACCCCCGCCTGGAGCCCAAGCTTATCCCTGTCCTCTACCACATCTACTCCTTTCGCAGCAGCTGGCAGGTGAGCCTTGTCCTGCGGCTCTGCAGGTCACCTCGTCACCAGAACTGGGTCTTTGCAAGGCCCTTGTTCCTCCCTGTCACCTTTCCTTGTCCCTCCCTGCTCCGGGACACTTTGAGGAGCCTCTGGCTCTGTGCGGACAGTGTCAGTTCTTAGCACGATCATTATGTAAAGGCTGATTGACCCCATCCTCTTCCAGACTCCGGCCCTAATCCTCTGCTACTGACCTTTACCTCTCTGATTCTCCTCTCCAGGTTGGGCTGATAAAGCCCCATCCCATCTTCTCCCAGATGGTGTCGGACGCTGCAGAGACCATGCTGACCTTTAACTCCTCCGCCATACCGATGCTGTGCCCCCCGGTGCCTTGGACCTCCCCCCACTTCGGTGCTTTTGTGCTGAACGACACCAAGCTGATGCGCTTTGTGGACGCAGCTGTCCAGCACCAGCTGCTGCTGGAGCAGTGTCCCCCAGTGAACCTCCACCCCGTGCTGGATGCCCTGAACCAGCTGGGCAACTGCCCCTGGAAGATCAACCAGCCGGTGCTGGATATCATCATCTCTATCTTCAACGATAAGGGCAACGAGAAGCTGGACATCCCACCGCCTGTCTCCGAGGCCCCCAGGCCTTCTGGTCCCAGCAGCCCCTCTGCCTTGAACAAATCTCAGAAGCACGAGCTGTTGATGTGCAAGAAGAAGGCGGCTGAGATGCACAGCTTGCGCATGGATGCTCTCTATAAGCTCTCCATCGCCAACTACGTCAGAGACAAGGTGTTCTGGTTCCCTCACAACATGGACTTTCGAGGCAGGACTTACCCTTGCCCGCCCTATTTCAACCATCTGGGGAACGATGTCACCCGGGCCATCCTGCTCTTTGCGGAGGGAAGACCACTGGGCCCCAAGGGCCTGGACTGGCTGAAGATTCACCTCGTGAACCTGACGGGACTGAAGAAGAAGAACGCCTTGCAGGAGCGGCTGGAATACGCCAACGAGATCATGGAGGAGATCCTGGACTCGGCCGACCGCCCACTCGTGGTAGGGGGAAGTGGCTGACAGAGCTCCACACGCTCTCAGGGTGCAGTGGTGGAAGTGTGGGCTCTGGCAGCCAGCCCCAGGAGGGTCGGGAGGCTCCCCTTTGATGAACGAACTGAAAAGCAAGGAAGTTTGTTAGAGTTCAAATGGGAATTGTGCAAGTATGCCAAGGAAAAATGGGATCAGTATTGTCTTTAATTTCAGAGGAGACTCAGCCATTCCTCTTACTTAGCATAGCTTCTAGAAAGTAAAATAAAACGGAAATCAGATTGATTTTGAAAGATAACACTGAGGGAAACAAAGCATTGCAGAGTTTCCTAGATAGAACATGTCTGTCTGAAAACATGATGAATTGGAGGCATGGTGGGAGGGGGTGCCTTGCCCAGTATATCCCAGGGGTGCAGAGGCTCCTGGTTTGGCCTTGGGATGCCCCAAGAACGCTGCCTGCTCCTGTCAGCCTGTGCTTTCCTGTTCCCAGGGCAGGAGGTGGTGGATGAACACCGACGAGCCCTGGCAAGCCTTGGCGTGCTGTATGGAAATCGCCAAAGCCTCAAGGTCCCCGGACCCAGCAGCCTACATCTCCCACTTCCCCATTCACCAGGTAGGAGCCTGACAGCTCTGCATGACCCCTGCGGCTGAGCAGGGGGAGGAAAACGAGCAGGGCAGAAAGCTCCGGGCAGGGCAGAGGCATCCAGGTTTCCAGTGCTGCATTTACTACAGCGTGTGGCCTGTGGCTTTCTTAAGAATGGGAGTGCAGTCTGCAGGCATCTTGGCTTGAGAACGCCAGTAATTTGCTGCTGCATGCAGCCATTAAGCCAGTACAATTAAGCGCTGCCTTGCTTCCTTTGGCTGGGGCAGAGCCTGTCTGGGAGATCACCGTCAGCTGCCCACAGGCTGAGAGCCGGGCCAGGCTCACCTCCAGCTCCAGATCAGGACTGGAAATCAGATCCTGGCTGGGTGGGACGTGGCGTGGGCGTGTGGCAGCACCTGATGTCTGAAGAGCTGGGGGGATGTGCTGAGGCTTTGGGGGCCTCTGCTCTGCTCCCACTCCGAGACTGGAGCCAAGCAGCTCTGCAGGAGCAAAAGATTGGGGTTTGGACCTCTGAGGGAGGACAGAGCTGATCTGTCCCCTGCATTCAGTGATGTGGTTGCCATTCACCGTGTGCGCTGTCTCTGCTTAGTCCCATGTGCCCATGCTCTGAGTGCAGCCCCTCAGAGAGTGCTCAGCTTCCTGAAGGCACCCTCCCTCCAGGCTGGAGAGGAACCAGGCAGTAGCTGCATGAGCCAATGGTCAGCCCTGTCTGCCACGTCCCTGCAGCTCTGCAGCCACTGCCCAGCCCATGCCTCTGTCTGCACTGGTAAATCCCCTTGCTGCTTGGGAGACGGTGATGAATTGTTTTCCTGGTGAGAGAGGTTTGCTCATTTATCTCATTAGAAGATGCGATGGCCCTAATGAAGTGGGGGGGCCGAACGGGGGTGTACTCTGCCAGTAGTGGTGGTCTGGAATATGCATGAGACCGTCTAAATGGGAATTGTTATGACAACAAAAGATCAAGAGAGCAGCTGGGGGTGTGTTGAGTGTGTCAGTGATGAAATTCAAGCAAGGACTTCTGCTGGAGGGCACCTGATCTCTTTCCACCTGAGTCATCTGTGCCTGAACAGAGGCAGCTCCTCTGTCAGAGCACTCAGTCCTTGGCTCCGCAAGGCGCTGCACTGCACTGCAGGCTGCGGGGAGGAGGGGAGTGGAGCGTCCGTCCTGCCACCAGGCAGAACCAGGGATGGTCCAAAGCAGCAGCACATCTGTGAGCAGCGTTTCTGCCGATGCTGTCTGGGGAGCAGCAGGACCTTCCTGCACCATCACTGGGGTCCTGCCTGTCTTGTCCAGGTCGTGGTCCCAGGAGGGCTGTCAGGGCAGCCGCTGTGACAGATCGGTCGTGTTGCTGCTATAACGGCGGCACTGGGAGAGGCTGGTTCCTGTCAGGATGTTTTCATCAGCTGCCAAGCAGCTCGCTGCAGGTTCCTTGTCAGCTGTGGCTCCTGCGCCATCCCATCTTCCCCTGGTCCTGCTCCTGGGTGTTCTGGGGTTGCTCTCACTGCTGGCTCTGGGGGCTTTTGTTAGCATCCCAGACATGTGGTGGTGGTTTCCAAATTTTCTGATTTTTAGAGTTTCCACAGAGCTAATGATCTTGAAAGTTCATGGAGGAGGCAGTGTGATGGGTGGTTTTCTTTTATTAACCTACTAGACAGCAGTAGTTAGTGATGAGACCCAGACAGGAAAACTGGCTGGAAGGTAACTGGAAACTGGTGTGGCCCTGGCTGCTGCTGGGAGATACCTGCAAACCTGCCCAAAGAGGGGGAAATGACAGTGACCTTGTGAGGAAGTATCTGTATCTGTGCTGCGGAGCGAGGGCGGATAAGCAGGGCTCCATCCCACGCCGACACTTCCTTTTCACCCTGCTCTCTCCCCACACACAGGACGGCTCTTGTAATGGTCTGCAGCACTACGCAGCTCTAGGCCGGGACCTTATTGGCGCCACCTCCGTCAATCTGATGCCCTGCAGTGTCCCCCAGGATGTCTACAGTGCGGTGGCCCAGCAGGTGAGGCACAGCAGGGCCACAGGGAGGTGACCCCTTGCCAGTGCACTGCACAGGGTCACTCCAGCTCCAAGGAGAAAGGTGGAGATAGGACCAGCACGTGTAGGGCTGGGAAAGCGTGAGCTGGTCACGGACAGAGTCCTTCCCTCCCCGAATGGGACCCAGTGGGGATCTGGCTGGAGATCTGTCTTGACAGAGGCAGCTGTGAGAAATCTGCTGGAATTTTTGCTGTTCTCAGTTTTTGGATGGTGTGGCAGAGGTGGGAGAACCTGAGCCACAGTCCTTGTGCTGTGTCCTTGTGGTGTCCGGCAGCACCCAGCTGCCAAGGGACGCTGCTCTGCTGAGGCAGCAGGGGAAGGCTCTGCAGGCACCGTTATCTCTGAGATGCCTCTTGGTCCTTCAGCAGATGATCTCGGTTAACCAGGGCTGCAGAGGATGGGCTGCAGGGTTTCTGATGGGGGTTCAGGGAGCGCACAGCTGGGAGGGCTTCATGTGGCCCCTGACTCCCCCAGCCATGGAGGGGGCTTGGGCCAGCGTGGCTCGCGGTGGGGCTGACCTCCCAGGCGCTCTCCTCCTCAGGTGGAGGAGTTTCGGAAGAAGGACGCTGAACAGGGGGTGAGGATCGCCCAGGTGCTGCAGGGGTTTATCAGCCGCAAGGTGGTGAAGCAGACGGTGATGACGGTGGTGTACGGCGTCACGCGCTACGGCGGGCGGCTGCAGATGGAGAAGCGTCTCAAGGAGATCGAGTTCCCTGAGGTAGCAACCTGCCCTGGCCTCCCCCACTGGAGTTTTGCTCAGCTCTCAGCCCCTGCTGGGAGCATTACCCGCGCTGCCCTTCCTGTGGGTGTCCCTCCTGCCTGGCTCTCTCCTTCCCCCAGACCTCAGCAGGCAGAGGGGTGCACAGGACTAAGCTCCCTGTGCTGGGCTGGGCCAGCCGGCAGGAGAGCTGCCTGCCAGCACTTGGGGGTGGGGAGGGATTCTTCAGGTGGGGCTGCTCTCGTTCTTCTTGGGCACACCTTGGTGGCACGATGGCCTCAGCTGGTGTTCAGATGCCAAACGAGGTTTGTGGCTGTGCTCTTCTCTCTGGAAATGGCCTTTGTGTCTAGCAGAGCTCTTGGAGGTTTGTTCCTCCTGGCGCCCGTTTCTTGGGCTGTGGCCGTGAGACAGTCCTCGGTGATTTGCTGTGCAGGTTGGTGCTGGGAGTGTTTCTGCTGTGTTACGTTCCTGGGGCAGATTAGGCAGCGAGAGCCTCCTGTTTATCCAGGAGTGTTACACAGAGATCAGCCTGTCCTCGGACATGGAGCTGTCCAAAATGCTGATCACAGCCTTCCTCCATCACAGCCCACAGTCCTGCAGCAGCTCAAGGCAGCACAGTCCATGGTGGAGGCGATCTCGAGGCAGCAGGGAGATCTCTCTTTGCTTACCCTGGGTTCCATTGCTTTGTTCCACATCTTTTGCTGCCCCTTTGCCTAACCCCTGGCTCTGCCCCTCTGTGCAGGAATACTTGTGGGAAGCGTCTCACTACCTCGTAAAGCAGGTGTTCAACAGCATCAAGGAGATGTTCTCGGCGACTCGAGATATCCAGGTACAGTGCCTGTTGCCTCTTCTATCTCTACCTTTTCTTCTTCCTGGCCCACCCACACATAGACCAGGGGATGCTCCATGGGGAGAGGTGGTTCCTCTGGGTCCTGGCCCAGGGAGGATCCTCCTGCCCCAGCCCAGACTGTGCCTGTTACAGGGCCGAACTCCCCCGTAAGTGCTGGGCTGTTGCAGTGGCAGGAGTCTGGCTCGGCTGTGCTGGGGAAGGGCTGGGGTCTCCCAGCTGCCCACACTTAACTGTGGCCTCCCCACTTCCTCTGCTAGAACTGGCTGACGGAGAGCGCCAAGCTCATTGCCCAGTCGGGACGAACGGTGGAGTGGGTCACGCCGCTGGGTCTCCCCATCGTGCAACCCTACTATCGGTCCACGTCCACTGTGGTAAGTGTCTGGTGTGTGGGACTCGTCTACCCCTCCTCTGCCATGGTGGGAAGCAGGGAAGGGGCAGCTGGGCTTTGGGGCAGCAAGCTAAAGCCTGGCAGATCGGCATCAAGAGTGGGATCGGCCTGCAGAGCAGGCAGGATCTGTGTGTGTGCAAGCACATCCTCCAGCCCATCTCTCCCTGCAGAGACTGGAGTGTGTGGGTGGGCTGGTGAGGAAGCTCTGCTGCTCCCGTCCCACTCAGGCAGCTGGGGCACGGGCGCGCTCTCCACTCTGAGGAGCCTTCCTCAGGGCTTGCGTGATTCAGTCTCGCTGCTCTCGCCTCCCACGCGCTGCTGCGCTGACTCACGTCTCCCCAGCCTGTCTCGTCCTTGCAGCCACTCACCTCCAGGAGCCCTTCCCTTAGCCCTGCAGAGGTGAATCATTGTGTGGCTGGGAAGGGGGAAGATACCTGTCTGCATCCTCAGGAGGGGAAGCAGGGAGGTGTCACTGAGGGGTGACAGCGGCCATGGTAGCTGGGATGCCCTGGAAGGGTCCCTGCCCTGGCCTCTTGCTGCAGCCAGGGACGCAGCTCATGATGCCCTCTCCAGAACACAGGGCAGCGCTCAGCACCTTGTGTTGGTGGTGCAGTATGGCAGCTGATCCCCTTTCTCTTTCCCGGCAGCTGAATTGCACCATGCAGAGGCTGAGTGTGAAAAGCTTCAACAGCAACCAGTAAGTATGAAACCATGGCCTTTGCTGAGCCCCAGCTGTCCCCAGTCCATCCTCGGGGACAAAGCCTTCCCAGCAGTGGGACCTGCCCGTGAGTGCCAGAGCTCCTGGTAACCCCTGAGCTGCAGAGAGTGGGGCGCTGTGCTGAAATTGGGGGGCCTGGGACCCTTCAGAGCTGCCGCCATCAGCCCCATGCCTTGGCTGGTGCTGGCACTCTCATCTTTGGTCCTGGAAGTGCCCCAGCTCCTCTTACCTCTGTGCCGCAGGAAGCCTGACACGGTGAAGCAGAAGAATGCCTTCCCACCCAACTTCATCCACTCGCTTGACTCCACGCACATGATGCTCACGGCTCTGCACTGCCTCAGGTAGGAAACGGCCCTGGGACTCGCTCCCTGCTGGGACAGCACCACCAGGGCAAGGCCTGTGGGTGCGGGAAGGTTTTGTGGGTGGTGTTTGGGGGCCTGGAAGAGAATGGATGAGAGGAGGTGGAGGGGCAGGGATGGAGGATCGCAGGGTTCGCTGTCTCTCGCTGAAGATGAGGAGCTGTGCAGGGAGTCCGCCTCCTTGCGTGGTCCCTGCTCCTGTCTCAGCAAGGGGTCTGCATGGGGCAGGGGACCTTGCAGAGAGGGAGCTGTCAGCACAACTTCATGACACCTTTTGCTGCCTCCCAGGCAGGGTCTGACCTTCGTCTCAGTCCACGACTGCTACTGGACTCACGCGCTCTCCGTGGACGTCATGAACCAGGTAAAAGCGTCCTCTGGGTCCCCTGTGCATGGGATCTTGCTGATCCGTCCCCTGGGCACTGGCCAGCCCTTGCCTGCCATGGGCTTTGCTCCACAGTTTATTTATTCACCTGGGCGAGATGAACCTGGGGTCCTTGCTGGTGCACCCCCTGGTGCCATAGCCCATCTCCCACCCGTCAGGGCTCGTGTTTGGGGTGAATCTGCCTGTAAATCAGCGCTGAGCACAGTGCCTGGCAGTCGGGGGCTCTGTCTGCCCTGGGGTGCTGCGAGGGCCGATGCAGCAGATTGGCAAATGGGGGTCGGCCTCTGCTGCCCCCCTCCCCAGGCTGATTCCCCTCACCTTTGTGTGGCAGCCCCCTTTCCTGTTGCTGCCTGCTTCTTTCCCTGCCCCTCACCTCTGACCTCTCAGGGCTGAGGAGCACTGAGGGGAAGGAGTGGAAGCGCCCACTAACCCACAACTCACCGTTACTCCCTGGATCAGATCTGCCGCCAGCAGTTTGTGGCTCTGCACAGTGAGAAGATCCTGCAGGATCTGTCCGAGTTCATGCTGGAGAAATACTGCAGGTATGTCCCCCAGCCAGCCCCACCACACTCCTTGCCCACACTGATTCCTGGGGTGGTTGTGTTGCCTGCTGGGGGGTTGCTCTGGAGGGAAGCTGTGCTTCCTTCTTGCTGGTGCCCAGATCGCCTTACACCTCAGTGTAAAAAATGAGGGGTGTCTGCATCCTCTTGCTGCAGAACCAAAGCAGGGTTTGGTGCCTGAAGCCCTCGGTGGGCCTGGGCAGGCCATCATCTCTGTGCTGTGGATTCCCTGCTGTGAACGAGTCAGTGAGGGGTGGTGAAGACCCACGTTGGGTCATCCCAGTGAGTGACTCCTGGTCACCATGGCAGAGCCTGGCAGTGCAGACCCACCCTGACCCGGGCAGAGGCTGCAGAGGCCCCAGCGCCTGCCTGGGGCTGCAGGGGCTGAGCTGCTGCTGCAGGGTGTGAGGCGATTTGGAAGAGCCGAGTCCTGTTTTCAGGAGTGGGGAGCAGAGGAGGGTTTGTGCCTCTCCCAGTGCTCCTGTGCTGATTCCTTTCCTTCTGCTCCGTCCAGCCCCGGCAGGGAGACTCGAGCCCTCTGGCAGAAGAAGCTGATGGAGCAGCTGTCGAGTGTCCCCAAGACAGGTAGGAGCACAGGACAGGAACTGCAGAGCTCGGGAGCAGTTTGGAGATGGGGAGTGGAGAACGGCCTCTGAAATCATTGAGGGCTTCTTGCCTGTGCTGGAGTGCAGACCCATGGGGCAATGCCCTGCTTTCCCCCCCTGTAGCCTCCCTGGAGTGGTCCCTGCCATCTCCGCAGCTTCCCCCGAGTGACCCAGCTCATCCCATCCCCTCTCTTGTTCCTTCTCCCATCTGTTTCCAACCACGGAGCATTTGCCTGGGGATGGGAGTGAGGCGCTTAGCGCATGGTAATTGCCAGGATCTGGATGATAGGGATTAAGGCAATTAGTTTAACTCCACCTAATCCCTTGGCCCTGCCCCTGCCAGCCCATCTGGCTGACCGTGATTCTGTCTTTGGAAAGCGGAGCGGCTGGCGCTGAGCAGCTGCTGTGGCCAGCCCCCGTGGCAGGGAAGGCTCTCGCCCTGCGGCCCTGTGCTCGCTTCCCTCGCTGCCTTGCTGCTGTTACACTCACAGAGAGTTCTTCCCACTGCTGCCCCAGATGAACTCCAGGTCCTGGAAGCCATCCAAGGTCCCTGCTGTTCTCTCCCACCCTCAGCAGGGGCTGAGCTGAAGAGGTTTACTGCTCAAAGCTGGAGCAGGGCTCTGGAGTGCACTATCTCCCCCCACTCTCCTCTGACCTCCTCTCTCTCTCACTTCCCCCAGGGGAGCTCAACCTGCATAGGGTGATGGATTCCACCTATTTCTTCAGCTGAGCCCCGGCAGCCAGCAGTGCCCTCTGCTCTGCCCCTGCCTCCGAGGCTCCTCCGTCCTGCGACTTGTGGGGACAGCGGCTACGGCCACCAGCCCAGCAACAGCCACCACGGTGCTGGAGGAGCACGGGAGCAGCCCCAAGGGCCAGTGGGGAACAGGGGCTCTGCACAGTTGCTGCTACTGCCTGCATTAGGCGAGGGGAGCAGGTATTGTGGGCTGCAGCTCTGGTGTGGGGTCAAAGGGGTGATGGTAGATGGGGCTGGCTGCTCTCAGTCCTCACCCAGGCATGATGTGCCTGTCACTGCAGCTCCTCCCTTGGGGTGCCATCCCTCTTCATCCAGGGCCCTATCACTGCTTTCATGTGGCTCCTGGCCCTCATTTCCAGGTTTCAGTTCTGTTCACTGGGTCTCAGGCAGGGAAAACCACTATCACAGGGATACAGGTGTACAATAGTGTAAATAAAATGGTTTTTGAGATATGAGATGGGAGCTGTGTCCTTCACTGTGGGCTTCCTGGGCCTTCATCTCACTGGGGGTGCTGGGGAGGGGGGACTGATGTCTCCCCCAACTGCTGTGGTTTTGCTGGCTGCCTGGGCTGCAGTTACTCAGAGGTGTAACAGCCTGGAAATGATTTTGTAACAGAACCAGACCAAGCTTCCAAGCTGGTGCAGCTGCAATGGGAGCAGGGCTCACAGAGTGGAGGTTCTGCCCACCTGACCCTCGCATTTCTAGCCAGGAGTCTCCCTTCTCGCTGAACTCCACAGAGCTGTGTGTGGGGGTGCTGCTGGGCATGCTGCAGCTCTTGGCTGAGCTCTGCACCCCTCAGCTCTGGCTCACAGCCTGGTCCCAGCTTCGTCCCCACCAACGCTGGGCAGTGGGGCACAGCCCCATCCGTAAGGGGAAAGGCTCTGGAGGAGGCATTTCCCATCGCTTTTCTGGCAGAGCTGCAGCCCTTCAAGGGCCAAAGCTGCTTCCTGCAGCCCCAGTGGGGGCCGTGCCTGTGGCAGAGCTCCCAGTGCTGGGTGAGGGCAGCGGCAGCTCCGGGGCCGCAGCGGGGAAGGACGGCGACCGAGTAGAGGCAGAGACGGAGGCGTGCGTAGCTCTGTCAGCTGCTGACGTTTATTGCGCAGGATGGGCTGGATGAGAGGTGGGCGCCTGGCATGGGGCCCTGTCCCACGATTGCGCAGCCGCAGGGCACAGGGCCCTCGCTTGCGGGCGCTGCGTACATTCAAGTGCGAGGCAAAGGCGTCCTTGCACGCACACGTGTCCCCCCGCTGCACACAGACACACGGTACACGCAGTGTGTGCCTTCTGCGGCATAAAGCCAGGGCAGCCCTAGGCTCCGGCGCCCACCTCTGCCTGATGCTGACTACAGGGACA